TTTGATAGAGAAGACAAGGGCTGCGTTAAAAGTCATCTCTGCGTATTGTTTTTGAGAGAGTTTAGCTGAACTGAGACGCTCGACAGTGTAAAACATGCGAACTGTTTACTTCGATGACTCGTCTCAAGATGGATCTGATAGCGCTGTTTATAAACTGTTTTGCCTGCGTCGAGGTCATTTACAGCTTACTCTGTACTGTCACATCGTGCGTATTGCTTTAGTACATTTTATCGTCCAAAGGATGCGTGTAATTCGTGTACATAATAAGAGTGAAACATACTTCAAAAAATTGAATTATATAGTCAATGATTCTCGATCCAGTATCGTAATTGTATATCTAGGTATAACTCGAAGCTTTCAGCCTCAGACAGATTATAAAATAATTTCCAACGTATCTTTTTCAATTAAATTATCGTCGTCTTCTTCGTACAGTGTCGTATAATTGAATCAATAGTTAGTTGTATCTCGCGTTTTAGGGACAACTCGCGACTAATCGCGTTTCAAGAGGAAAAAAAAAAAGAAAAAAAAACCAAAAAAAAAGAAAAAAAGAAGCATAGACAAAATTCGTTACGGACAACGAATTTTCCGTGCCCACCGAATTGCATTTCGTCACACTTACTAACGTTAATAACGAGCCATTTTCTCAAGAGTTATCAACTCCTGTACACTTAGAGAGAAAAGAAATAGGTTATAATGTACCTTAAATAAAGAAATACATCGATCCAAGTTTTACTCTCAAAAAATGATAAAAAAGTAAAGAACGTATATTAATAACAACAGGGTACATTAGTTTTACGATACGTTACTTACATAGAGAGGATTGGCGTAATTGATTAATATTGGCGAGTATGAGTCGTTCGAACAAACCAAAACGTAATATTCGATTCATCGTTTAGATGTCGTTGCTGTCAAGCACGATTGTAAAACGTGTAAAACCGGGAATAATCTTTCGTTGAAACGTTCTCACGGGAAAATAGAAAAGAAAAGAGAGATACGAATATATATATATATGTATATGTATATATATGTATATATATAT